ATTCGACGAAGTTTAGGAAGTAACGCCGAGCAATAGTACGTCCGGTCTGGAGCTAATAAATGTCGAGCCAGATGCAGGGCCGGATTAGGACGAACAGAGACCCAACGGATTGTAGTGCCCTCATATGTAATTCCAAATATAAGCAATAATAAACCATATAATAAATTTGTATTTTTCAAAACGAGATTTTATATACGTCATAATTAATTGAGACAAAGCATGCAGCCGTAAGGAAGGAGAACAACCATGAAAAACTCATTAACAGTTCTTATTTAAATTTGCTACCAAACAGAGCTGATGCCCCCACCCCCCCTCCCGGTGATACCCTAATCATATGTTTATTCTGCATAATTGTTAATCCAGCCCTGGCCTTCTAACGTTTTCAATACGTTAATAATAGCATGATTGTTACCACGGGTAGACGATCGGGAAAATGCGCCTCGGCACCAGAGGATGACCATATTAAAGTTTCAATAGGATAATTTTGTAGCGCACCTCGATGCGCAGAATTTCAACTGCCAGGGGTTAATTTACGTGCACGCCAGGTCAGTTCCATGGGTCGTAACTTTGACAAGATAGAATCGGGCTTCAGACGTTCCTACGTTATTCATTCCCCACACCCAGATTTGAATCTTGGATAATCTAGTTAACAGGCCAGTTACGGGAACGATTGAGGACCGCGGTCTCCAATAACTGAAAAAGAAGTAATCCTTGTCTCGAGAAGTCTTTATATAACTGTAATGTGTTGAAAATAAAAGTCGTTTATTTTGCATCTAAAATCAAAATCAGGTCCCACTAATTTCAAGACGGCTATTTCATGAAAATGTTGTACTGATTACTACTTTCATTTTACCCGGTGTGGATGAATTGGAATAATGTTCCAGAAATATCAACCAGTGCAGTGTTGCTAACATCCAGCTCTTATCGTCGGTATAAACCCACACTTTCTTTTCTAGTTTCTAGTTTACACCGACGATAAGAGCAGAAAATGCTCATCTTCGAACTCCATCAAGGTATTCACCAATTAAACACCTACACCAACAAATATTCATCATTTTCTTTAAAATATTTTTAAAAAATGACACCATTAATTGTCTATGGTTAACTGGAACATTATCTTAATTGTCAGTCTTGCTCTCTTTAAAACATGATAGTATATACGACTTGAGTCAATAACGGTGATGTGTCTAAAATGATTGATAATTCACTGCAACTGAAAAAGTGAATGGCCATATTTCCAATAGATCACTAATAGAAGCACTGTCATTTATTTCATTTGACTGCAAATCAAATATTAGACCGACGTCATTCCAAGTGACAACTTAAAGGTATTCCCTAAATATATTCATCATGTTACTTCTACACTGCTCACCCTTTTCATTTCTGGAAACAATTAGTATCATACATTGATTAACTTCTGTGCTTTTGAAAATAACATTTGTCGATGTTCTGATATTTGCATTATTACCAAAAATCCATTTGTTTTGCACAGTTCTTAATGCAATCATTAACCAAGTATGACAACTGATGTCTCGTCGACAATGATATGGAAAGCATTTTAGCAGTTTTTATTTGTCTAGCAGATTCTGTAAAGTAGATGTGTGTGCTCTCAAACCCCGTTGTCCACAAGCGATTTAGTGGTCCGAAGTGAAAGATAAGTTGAGCATAGTGTACTGAATAATGATTTTTTTTGGTTTCAAGTTATTCTCTGGAAAACAGGAATCTCGGTGTACAAGACGGTCTTATTCTGACTAAAACCCAATCCTGAACAGCATGACCAACCACTGTCTGGGGCAAGTTTATCTAATGCTTCCCCACCAAGACATTTGAAAGTTTTCTGTTGAATTGATCGACAGTAAACCACTTGACTTCTTTAATTAGATCAGAAATTATATTATGAGATGAAGGTCATATTAAACAACCTCCTCAAATAAAACATGCCCAATACACACATCGCGGTAAGCGCGGTACCACATCGAATTTTGACAAGAAGTTGAATACAGAGTCGGATTTAATTTCCAAATGATAAAGTTAATATACTGAAGTATTTATTTCAACCACTCTTTCATAACTACACTTCAAATATTCAATGAAATAAAGAAGGCAGAAATGATATGGAAGTGAAGATAAAAGCCAGATCAAATATGCAAATTAGGCTTCCATGAAGTATACATATGAACACTTCGGTGGAAGTGAATATGAAGTGTGGAATCTTCTTCTTCGTCATTGATATCTGTAATACTTCAATAGCATGGTATCCATTTTCTTGGAGTGTGTTTTATCCTTCTTCGTCAATTCAACATGGTGTTTTATCACTTCAATTAAACATCTTGCACACGTCAACACGGTACTTGTAGAGTGCTTTATTCACTTTGGTCCAACTTCTTTTAAACTTCAATTAACTTAACTGGAGGCCTGGGTAAAAAAAACAGGTGGTCCTGGAATGAATCAATCCCAGTGTTGACGAAGAAAGTTCTTGGATGCAAAAACCAGTGTCTAGTTTTCATGGGCTAATGTCAAAGAACACTTGGAATTCAAACAGTAGACAGAAACGCCACTGTCCCGGCAAAAGTTTCCTCATAAAATTTCGTACGAGAGTCTTCATTATCTCAGTTGACGAAGAAAAGTCACAAGGTTAACACGGATTCATTTCTATGTAGGAGCATCAACTTCGTTTTATTTAAGATTTTGCCCATTTCGGCTGTATGTGAAACCAAGGCACACTTTAATATCGATTATTTATTACTATTTTAGAAATATTACAGTGCAATTCACACAATTACAACATCAATATTCATAGACTTAAGAGGTCTATCTTGTTTTTTTTGGATGGCGCCCGACTATAGCTCAATTTCCTTCACAGGTAACACATGGAAATACGCCAACTCAGCAGCTATGTCGCGAAAAAAACCCAGCTATATCTCCGACAAAACAGCTATATCTCCGACAAAATAGTGCCACATACAGCAGCTTATCGGACAGGAAAAAGGGAATAGTGACCAACTTTGATGCCTTTAAGAATAAGAACCATTATCGTATTCACTAGCTTTTCCAAAATGAGTGTCCTACATTGCTGACAATAACAAGATGCATCGTCTTCTAACAGTCACGCCGAACAGAACTGTAAGCCAAAGGGGAGGTAACTCTTGAATGCTATCGTGCCACCAATGCTTCACATTTATTTTGAAAAATAAACTGTTTTAAACTATAGCCACTATCGTATTAACAGTGTTTTAAGGCAAGCGGGTCAACCCCAAAATAAAAGATCACGCATTGCTGAAAATTAATAGGGTTCGTTCACACCAATTTGGAAATGAAATGAATCGAAGTCGGAGCAGAACATTTTCACGTTAAAACACATTTCATTTATGCCGAATCGGGATTATGAGAGGATGAATGCTATTCATATTCAGATACTTGGCCTAGTTATAACTAGCTACTCTTGGTAATATTTGCATATAGGCTGGCGTATCTTTGTTTGGTATGCAAAATGAAATTCTCAGTAACAGATTAGAATCGCATAACAAAATAGGACACTGTGAACAGCATTGTGGTGATATTGGGTTTCTGTGGTTTAGCATGCAGCAAAGAGCGCGATCGATTTTCCTACTTTTAGGCCCGAGGCCTAATTCATCAGTGGACCCCCAGATTTATAGAAACATTCCGCTGGTGGGCGCCAGGTCAATAACCTAGTATTCCTATTGATCAATCCAGACGTGACGAGGAGAAATCTTATACATGAATATCGTTCACTAGTTCATATACTTTACTATTTACTAGTACACTATGCTATATAGTTCATCTTATAATTCCTATGCCATTTATAAAGTAGATGTGTTTGGCCATGGTATCATGCGGATAAAGTGCATCTGGCGAATACAGTGCTATAGAAATAATTGAATGAAATAAATAAATATTAACATATAATTTATGTAAGAGGCCCATTATAAATCAAAAACCAAGACAGTATTAAAAACTTTTTGAGATCCAATAAATCTTTAGGGTGATTCCCCTATTTGTTTACCTCTTGATTCTACTTCATCGCAGTCATGAATAACCCAGAAAGGAGATACTATGGAATGAATGAATGCAATGTTGTTTTATAGTACGTCAGGCCATTCTCCATATATGTGCTTTGAGGAAAATCTTGCCAGGACAGAGACGCTACGGCCTACTCTTATATTGTATTCCAACTGCCAAGGGGGCTTTCACGCCCCCCCCCCCACAATATTTACACGGGACCTCTGGTTTCGGTCCCATCCGAACGACTATACAGTGTGCCTTGTTGGGTCCTCGAAGTTGTTAGAACTTTTGTTTAATCCTTTTGTATTGTACAATGAAATGTCGATGCAATAAAATAATTTTAAAGTCAAAATATATTTTGGTTTCAAAAGTTATATAAACTATTATGAAGACATCTATTAACACGACAACAATATAATTAACCCTCTAGAGCATCGGGTAATAGATTTAAACAATTAAAATAGTTCGGCATTTAATGATTTACTTTAAAAATGGCTAAGTGATGCCAAGTCTCGAATAACAAGTACCGTTGTTACGATAATAAACTAATCGTGTCAAAACTTCAAACGGTGATAACTTCGCCAAGAATAAAGTAATTTGAATGACACGTACAATATATTCATTTTGCGTTATCTATTTTTGAACTATCATAGAAAGAAGAATAGCTCTTTATCTAAATCTATAACGCATCTTTAACTACCACAACAGTCGTATTTATTGTATCCTGTTGTATGAAAATTTCATATTACCGGCCTACCACTTGACTCAATCCATTGTCAGTGACTATTAATGTAGCTACAGAGTTTATTTAGGTTTCCGGTCTTTTGATCTTGACGCATAACACATATAATACAGTTTAAAGATCTTGATCTTGTATTTATTATTTTCTTACAAACTGAACAAATGGTGTTCGGGCGACTAACATGATTCATTAAAGGACTTTTATGTAACCAATTTTTGTTTGATATGTGTTTTATAAGCATGCACAAAAATTAAATTAAATATGACGCCCTACTTTTCTGCTCCTTCACGGGCGTAATGTTATGATTAATTTGATGTGATTATGTTCACTTTGGCTACGATATTTGATGCTGGAATAATTACCTCACAATAATTACTTTATTTTATGGATCGTTTCAAAATCAAACAAAACGTGTTATCACAAAATGAGACATATAATATTGCCAATGTATCGAAGAGGATAACCATATTACAAAGAGACATCTAGACTGATTATGAAAGAAGGAACTACAAATAGTTATCAACATGTTTGGAATTCAATATCGAAATTTATTGATGATCAGTATGTATATTTTTTAATCATTGTATTCTGTTATTATCAATTTAATAGGTACATTCCCATTTACACAATATTGATTAAGTGAATATTGGATGCCGCGCGGGTGTTTATGCCTCGGTCGGATGGGGTGGTGGTGGTGGTGGTGGGCTATACAATACACGACTGTTTTTTTTTAGATTAGACCCATAACATCAATCTGAAATAAAATCAGATGTCAATCAAATTTTTGTCACCCGCCTTTCGAAAAAAACCAGGAGACTATTAAAACGGCCTGCCTGCCCATACGTCTGTCTGTCCGTAACACCTTTCTTGGGGACACAATAACTCTCCTTCTAATTGAGCTATAATTTTCAAACTTGGGACATGCGTTTATTATGTGCATGTCTTGATGGTATTAGACGTTGAGCATTTTCTGCTTGGGGTAAGCAGAGATACGCAATTTGATTTGTTAATGCTTTGGGGCACGATAACTTTAGTTCTAATTAAGTGATGGAACTTGGATAGTCTCATTATAGCAATACCTTGATTAAGTTCGATAATGAGTTTTTGCTGCTCAGGACAAGCAAAGCGATAAAGAAATTAATTGGTCAAGACTTTTTAGCTCAATAACATTGATTCTAATAGGGTGGGAATTGCTTCATTACACCAATTCCTTCACTAAGTTGGATGATGGGCATTTTATGCTTCGACTCAGTGGAGACTTCAACCGGATAGGTCGAGACTTACGAACACAATAACACTCCTTCTAATTGAGGTAGAATGTTGAAAGTTGGTTTAGTTCTTTATTAGGTGAATGCCTTGGTTGGTTGATCGAGATATTGGAACACGATAACTTTGGGACATATTGGGTGCAGCGATGTAACTCAACTTATAGTTTCATTATTTCAATACCTTGACTAAGTTCGATAATTTTCTGCTCAGGCGAAGAAGTGATAAGCAAATTTATTGGTCAATTGCAAGACACTGGAACATAACAACTCTGCTTTTAATTGAGGAAGAATGTTTAAACTTGATGTAGATATTCATTAGGTGAATGTCTTGACTGAGTTCTATGATTAACATTTCGAGCTAAAGCTAAGCAGACGTAAGCAATTTCATTAGTTGGTGCTTTTTGATAAGATAACTTTGATTCTAATTGACGGAGAGTGATGAAACCTAGTGTATAGTTTCACTACCAGGTATTTCAAAACCATGACCGAGTTCGATCGTAAATATTTATGTTTTACAAAGAATAGATAATCAGTTTGATTGCTCAATACTTTTCAAAAAGATAAATGTGCAATTAATCAATATGTCAGGTGTCATCTCTCTATTTTTTATATTTTTTTTTTGTTTTTTTTTTTGGGGGGGGGGGGGGGGGGTCAAGGTGGCTAAGTGGGTAAAACGCTGGCTAGCTAGCCTGGAGGTCGATTGTTCGATCCCTGCATTGGCCGAGAAAGTTCATCCAGATTTTGCGGCGTGGTTCCCCCTTGTCAGTGATGCATGACGGAGGGCCTGACAAGTACAGCTGTCGAGTCGTTCGGATGGGACGAAAAACCGAGGTCCCGTGCACACAATGGCGTGCACGTAAAAGATCCCTTGACAGTTGGAATTCGATATAAGAGTAGGCCGTAGTGGCGCTGTCTGGGTAAGATTTCCCTCATAGTACACTGTATAGCGTACGACCGTCTTCATTAGCCCAGTTCGGAGAAGTAGGACGTTAAACACCATTTCATTTCATTTCTTTATTTTGGGATTGGGGCTGGGGACACCAGCCTCGCCAGGGGCTTGTTCAATTGTATACGCCCAAGTGGCAACTTGTTACATTCCAAAGATATTCAGTGCCCAAAGTATTTACAAATAAAATGATCCATACATTTATTTTTTTTTATAATAGGCCTTCTTGTTGATACAAGCTGTTCAGGTATGATTAAATTCATTCATTTTACTATATGATTAAACTGATTAAAATATATTAGGGATTTTTAAAAACTAATATCTGTGTATTCTATTTTGATACATTCAGCAACTAAATAAAAAAAATCACAGTATGATGTTGAACATAAATGTACATGTATCATGGATATCAAAACATTACTGAAATGGACGGGTTTAAAGGGGAAAACCTCAGATGAAAACACCTTTAAATTGCTTCGAGCTATCTTAATCGTTATCACCGAGTTTAATGTCTTATAGTTTCAAATAGTATTATAATTATTGTTTTAAATGCATGCACCTTGCTTTCAATTTTTCAAAGATATGATGAACTGAAAATTTGTCAACATCAGGCAGAAGATATAGACGGGATATGGTCAAAAGAAGCTTGAACCTACGATAATCTTCGCAAAAATCTTTTCTTATTCCGACTGAAACCAAGCCGAGGGATTACCTACATTTTCTTTCTAATTACATGGCTACATCTTAGCTTGGATTAACCATCAAACTTTCGATAATGTCTACAAAATGCAAATGACGACAAGGGGCATTAAAAGCCACGATATGTCTTTTCGTACCATAACGATTGACTTTCATAAACTAACTGACAATTATTTTGTTCCCACTGAAATAAGAGTTAAACAGTCCTGATTAATTAGATATTAATTTTCTGAATTTGTAAATAAATACATTTTAGGTTCCCGAACAATTCCAATTCAAACCGTTAGTGTAAATGGAACAGCCCATATTCACTGGTCAATGAAGTCAACCAATATACACTTCATAGTAATAAAACATAACAATAACACGGTAATTTATTTATTTCATTTAGAATTATATCGATTATCTGAATTTTAGTCTGGAAAAAAGGGACATGCAAATACTGCTACTCAGAATCTTGCACGGTTTACACGAGATTATCGTACAATAGCAGCGACACTTACATCGGGTTATTTAATAAATATTTTAACTTCCCTTTTGGAATACTTTGTCGAAACATGAAGAGAAAATCGACGTATCTTAACATTAGCTTTATCCATTATGTACAATCAGTAGGGGATTTAGAAGCTTTTGAATCAATGGGGGTAGGACCACAATAAAATAGATAATACAACGCATACAATAACAGTGAGCGGGAGAACAAAGATCGCCTATATAGTTGTTGACCGAACGTTATCTCAATTAGATATGCTTCTCAAACATTTTTTAACGTTTGAAGATTTTTAAAAAGAATGGGCCATGACAATAAAGACGATTTCGCTTTTGAAGTTACAATGTAAATTTGGTGAGTTGTTAGTTTTTTTTATTATCTTATCTCATTGTGAGACCTTTGACCACTTTGTTAGGTTGTGTTTAACTAAGACAAAGCCCACTCCCACATACACACGTTACCTACTCCCATATAAACTAACCAGAAGTTGTCTCGGCACCAGGACGTCTTGACAATCAAAACGATGTGAAGTGTAGCTTTGCTCCCTGAGATTGAACATCCTACTTTAATTAGAAGAAGGATTACTATAAGATCGTTTCATGTCGGGTACACTCCCTCAGAATGTCATGCCCTTTGTAAAACGGCGAAATTATTTGACCCGAGCATTTATATTGACTGAGATGTGACGGACAGATGAATTATTTTTTAAAACACATTCTAATAGTGCTGGAATGTAATCTCCGAACAGCGGAAGGCAATAAAACGCGTTTACAAGGTAAGGGCTAATTTAGGGTTCCTACAAATGAGTTTAGCTAATTTATAACTGATTATCGACTGTCTGAGTCAGGGGATGGTTCACAAACCGCTAGGTCACTGGTTCAATCCATGAGTTGGCCGAGAAAGTAACTCGAGATTGTTCATCGTGGTCTCCTCTCTGGTCACGACGGAGGGTTTGGTGACGTTTTTGTCTGTGATCTTTACTGTGATCTGCCATAGGGCATACGTTGATGTCCTTTGCTTTCTTTGCTTGATTAAATGTAATCGTATGTTATGTAATGTTTTTGAAGAAGATGATAGTGCAGTAGTTAAGACAGTTAACCTAGTATTGTTTATAATAAAAGATGTGTTTTTAAGATTTGTATAATGGACCAAGCTAAGGTGAGGAAAGTACATACCTGATGGACTAAGGCTATTAGTTATCTCCTCATTAACGTCTATATTAAATCCATGACATTTTTGGGCCTATTCCTTTTTTTGTTAATTCCGATGATCTTAATTTTTATAACATGTCAAAATAATCTGATAACAGAAGTTGACAATAACGATTCTTTTTCTAGGTCGGCCATAGGAATTATAAGTGGGTGATTTAGTAGGTGAATATCCTATTACACGTGTGGCGTGTTACAAAAATTAAGATCATCGGAAAGTTCAGAAAAAGGAATAGGCCCAAAAATGCCATGGGGTCTACGTTTATGAGGAGATAATTAATAGCCTTAGTCCATCAGTTATGTACTTTCCTCCCCTTAGCTTGGTCCATTGTCAGAAAATATCAATTCAAACATTTGTCATCGATTCACGGTCAATAAGGGCATGGGGATCTCTAAACAGACGAACTGTATGTCATCTCGGCAACATAACTGGCAATTTGAGAGAGAGAGGAGGGGGGGGGTAACTTCCAGGACTTGGAGAAAACCCACGATGTCGGACAGACAACCCCGAACCTTGCCATATATAAACGGGGAATCGAACCCACTTGATTTAGTGACAACCCTTATGATCTAACGCGCATGCATTAAACCATTCGGTCGCCCAACCAACCTTGCGAATTAACTATTGCACTACTTTAGTAATGATTACATTTAGTTTGATTCGTTTTGTTATTTTACAGGTTAACATTGCCCACGGTAGGCCAGATAAACTAATAATCCCGGATGATCGACTATCCATAATTATCAGAGATTCAAAAATAACTTTAACTATAACCAAAGTACGCTATGACGATGCTGGAATTTACACGTGTTTAATAAACATAGCACAAGAAACTAAAGATGTACAGCTCATTGTTTCTGGTGAGTTATTCGTGCACCACTACTATTAACAAATGGTGTAGATATTGCTATACATTTAAACAAGTTACATGTATGGCTCATTATATTATCACAAATAGTTGTCAGTATAAAAGTTGATTTGGGGAGGAGTATTTCGATAGGCTTAGGTCTTAGGTGGGCACTAATATATATTAGACAACCAAATTAAAACGAAATTTTATTTATTTTGTTTTAAGATGTCAAATGTACAATATAAGTAATTTCTAGTATTATATATGGCATAACTACTAGCTGATGTTTTTGTTATTTTATCTGTGGCATAACCTAGTATAATAGTAATTGTTAATTGTTTCTAGCGTTGGAGAAGGGTAGCGCTGTTGATGTCCCGGGAACTGTTCCATCTACCTCCATACGAATGAACGATAAAACTTATACCCCGTGGCCAGGTGATGAAGGTATAACCATTTAAATATTCCATATATAAGACTAATTAAATATTTCCTAATGGCGATACCTGTGCAAGTAAAATTGCAATTTAAGTAAAATTGACCTTTGAGACTGTTTCATTAATTTCTAGAATCATATGTGGCATATCGACTAGCTAATGTTTTAGTTGTTCTATCTGTGATAAAACCTTGAAGAACTTTGACCATACACCATACCTTTAATTTTTGAAATTTTGGCGCCTGTTTTCTACCGTAATTGTTTATTGTTTCTAGCGTTGGAGAAGGGTAGCACTGTTGATATCACTGGAACTGTTCCATCTTCCTCCATACCGCTGGACGATAAAACTGATACCCTGTGGCCAGGTGATGAAGGTACAGCCAATTAATTATTCCTTTTAAGCGACTAGTCCAATGCTCCCTAATGACCGTAGCTATACGCACCTTGACCTGCTATTAATATACGTGTATAAACCCTCTTGCCTGATACCGGCATTGTGCGGTTGTGACTCGCCAACAAAATGTTCCTGGTTCGCATCGAGGTACTGTCCAAGAAAAGGCTTAACTATGGAAATTGTGTCTCGTCATCTGGAATTTTACGTACAAGAATAGATATATAAGTACAAGATGTTAGTTACAAAATGAATCAACTTTCTGCTCAAATAATACCTTAATTCTGTTAGTAGGTTCTGGTCGTGTCGAATTAATCGTTATGGTAGTGATCGGATTGATGGTACTATTTTTTATCCTCCTCGCAGCAAATACGTTGTATTTTAGAAGAAAGCTCATTCGTGGAGAACGAGTGGACAGTATCGGTAAGTATTACTTCAGCCACGCTTAGATAATTGAAAGGATTCAATACATTTGATTTGAGTAACACAAATACACTTGCATTGTCGAATTAATTAAAGTTGATGTGCTGATTTAGCGAAATGAGTATTTGTCTACATTTAAGCTATCGGACCCACCATTGTGTGTATGCCAAGATCGAAACTAACATAAACAAATATTCTGAAATGCATTTTTCGAAATTCCCCGGAGTAGGATCGCCTGTCCAACCGTGTGGGTTTTCTCCGGGTCTTTCGGTTTCCTCCCACTGCCAAAGACCCTACGCGCAAGCGAATTATGAAAATAAAATTGAACCATATGTTAGTCCCGAAATGACCTAGTTTATGTCGAGAGGACGTTAAACCCTCTCTCTCTCTCTCTCTCTGTCTCGCATTTTTCGAAACAATTGCGTTTTCTTAAATGGAACAATACACAAGATCAATACTTTATTTTGATCACAAATACGTGAGTCTTTTAGATAAATCCAGAAAACATTTAAAATATCATAGACAAACCTCATTAGTTTTCTTTTCATCGGAGTTTCAGCGGAAATGTTTTCTTTGTATAGTAATTTAGACCTATGAAATAAAAAAAAACCAGCCCATCTTTACTTTTTAGGCTAGATATTGAGTCATAGCACAGGTGTCAATATTTTACTTCAAGCTGCGGTCACATCTTACGGTCACGCACGTAGTTCCCCGTAGTGAAACTAGGTTGTTATTATGGTCAACTATGTTCAACCGACGGTCACAGTACAGTCTTCGCATCCAAGATCACCATACGGATATTTTGAACATGTTGACAAATTTTGGGCTAACCACGGTCAAATCATGGATTTCGTTAATTACGTTTTTAACTACGTTTAACTAAGGTCTACTGATGTCATCTACGTGCGTGACCGTAAGATGTGACCGCGGCTACATAAAGACTGTGTTGACAAATCAATCCAAAAAAACAACACATTTTATGTATTGTTTTGTAAGTAATTGGGTTTGTTTTAGGAATGGTTGCTCATAGCTATGAAAGTATAAATTCATCTGTACATGGTAGAGTAGAGAACAGTGCAACACATAATGCAGATGACACTTCAACAGTTGTGATGGGTCAGGAATTAAGTCTAAATAGTAATGTCATTATAAACACAGACGTACTGACCAGTAATTTGTCTCTTCCTGATGATCAAGTCGCCACCCCGATATCTCATGACAGCGATGGGGTCAATGAACTGAATGATATATCAACAGTGATGACTGGCCCAGATCATTTGACATCGGCCCTGGAAATACTACTAACCGGTAATACCCGTAGTGCAGCCCGCACTGTATCTAGTGCTCATGCTAGCAATGAACATGGTGAAGAATGTGCTTCCTGCAGAAATAACTATGACCGACTACAGATGAGGCCACCGAATGTGGACAACAACACGTATACAAGTTTGAAAGACCAGACCACAGAGTTATAAATGTGTACAAGATAATGAAAGATTCGTGGCAGTTTCGAGGACATTTTAGGTTGAAAACAGACATTTGCTTGAAATGAGCTAAAATGAAATGGGGTTTAACGTCCTACTGTTCTGTTCCAACTGGGTTAATGCTAAAACGGACTGCAGATTCATTATTAGCAGCCTTTCGTATTTAAAATCTTCTGCCAAGTATTATAAATTATAAATTTAATATTGTTATTCTTAAATTTATAATTTCAATGTTAGAAACATTGACAAGTATAATTATATTGTTAAACTGCATTTTGGGTCTATTTCCTCCGAGTTGTGGACTCATATTTACAGTGAACAATTTTGTAATTAACTAGCTAGTCATATTTTCAGTGTACAGTTTTGTAATTAAATAGCTAGTCATATTTCCAGTGTACAGTTTTGTAATTAACTAGCTAGGTTGTTTCTAAGATCACCAAGTTAAATGAAACCTGTTGCTGCGGTGTAAAATGCTGATTTCTACTGTCGGACATTTCTATATCCAGGATGTCCGAGGGAAAATACTTTCATTTTACATTTTGAATAAGAACCACCTGAGTTTAATAGATTGGTAATGGCTGTTTAGTTTTTTAAATCAGCTGACCCGTGTCCCGTAAGAACAGTTTAGCTTTTTTGGTGTTTCCATACCAAATGCACTTTGAGATTAATTAACCAGCTTGGACCAGGAGCGTGTGTCGATTGGTGAGATTAATTATAAACCAATTGTTTTGAACGGTTGTGAATAGCTAAAAGGTGCAGTGTACATGTATACAGAGGAGGGTTGTGAATAGCTAAAAGGGATGGTGTGCACGTATACAGCTGTACCAGGAATTTTTTTTTTTCAATTTCGAAGTGTTTGTGTTCCGCCCATTAATATTCCTGCTTTCGTTCCCAATCCAGACGATTTTATTCGGAGACCAGGGTGCATGTGTTCCAACCATAATTACATCCCGAGTCATTAAGTGCGCAGTCCACTAGCTCTTCTACGGACGACCCAACCCGAAACAAGTATTCGTGATGTCATTTTTGTTTTGTTTTACCAGAAAGCACAATAGCGGGCAAAATCATCCAGTTACTACTATTTAATATACTTTTCAAAAAAAGTAGGGGATATTCAGAAACAATACAAAACTGCGGCAATGCACTGCTGTTTTTATTAGAGGTAACCAGTGTATGTTAATAACAGGCCAATTGCCTACACATGAACATAAAACAGTTCATATGGGCAGTTTATCTGTTCTCCCCAATCTGACTACACCATTCAGTATGTTGTACTAAACTATGCCTATCGGCACTACGACGCCGTTCAGTTAATACGATACTGTTTTGCTATCGGAACTACATCCCCGTTTAGTTAAGACGGCCGGCTTGTCCTCTTGGGACTAGTTCCTTTAAGAACTGTCTCTGAGCGGACGATGTCCACTGACAGTTCCTATCGGGCCCTATATAGCCGCAATAGGAAAATACCGCTCTTCCCCTCCTCTGTTCTAAGGCTATTTTGGAATCCTTAGCTACTATTTTTCACCTTTATTCGCCAAAGGAATCATTTCTTGCCACAGCAAGAAGAATTCTGCGATTAAAAACATACACAAAAGACGTTTGATCTGACGGCCATTACGAGACCCGGACATGCGCAAACCGCATGTTTATTTCATCGCTAAATTCTACTTGAAAATTGTGTTGAATAATTAAAAATGTGTGTCAAATATATTGATAAAAGATTCCTTTTGGTGGAAAATAAAGAATCACGGTGAAAAAACGGAAGGTTAGTGTTCTAAAACAGCCTGAGAACACAGGTGGGGAAGAGCGTTATTTTACCGTATTTTCATATTGCAGCTATATAAGGTTTCGACAGGAACTGTCAGTGGACATCGTCCGCTCAGAGACAGTTCCTAAAGGAACTATCTTGGGACTACCCAAGACGTTGTTTATTTGTAAGGTGAGGTTAATAATTCATAGATATTTCAATTAAATGAAGCGGCCTTGTCGGTATTATATGATAACAAATACATTATACAGTCTAAAACATTTCATGATATGTCGTTTTTGTAAAAATTAAAGATGTCTTCTGGCACACAAACTGTGTGGTCGAGTCTGAGCAGAATAGTAGGACGTTGTACCCCATTTCATTTTATACAAGCTGTCTGATTTGATATGGTCTTAAATCTCTTTATATAATTTATGATTATAATTTAAAACAATGTATTTCTTTTTTATAATTAATGTCTTGAGCGGGAGATACACTAGCCGAATCGTTCCACCGAATCAATCGCCACTGAATTCATTCGACCGACAGAGTGGACACACTTTGCACATTCTCTGCCCGATTCACCAGTCGATAAGTCACGTGATTAAACTTGGCAGCGACCAAGAAAATAAGTTCACTGGTGATTTTTTTGTCGCCGGTCCAGCCTCGTGGGTTTTCTCCGGGTCCCCCTGTTCCCCCAAAGCTAAAGACCCCTACGCGCAAGCAAATTATTGAAATAAAAAAAATTGAACCATGTGTTAGTCCCGAAATGACCTAGTTTGTGTCGAGTGGACGTTAAACCCCATCTCTCTCTCTCTCTTTACGCCATATTGGTTCACAATCTTGTTCGAGAATTGGCCGATAAATATATTGGCGGTCATGAACACTATATACGAGTGTCACCAGATAATTTCAACCAGTTGTTAGCTTTTGTCGGCCCGTCGATAACGAAGCAGAACACTGGATTCCGACAGACCTCAACAACGATTGGCAATAACTCTCGGATCTTTGGCCAGTGGTAACTGGTATTTTTTGAAAATGCATTTACAAAGACATTCAAGAATAAAAAAATATTTATATCATACTCGCTATAACACCAGCCCTCTAAACTTTTAATGCCTACATGCACCGATAGGCGTATTGCATGAGAACCGCACTTTAATTTATATACAGAAGCGTCGTTGAAATTGTGGACGCGGTTTGTATTTTTGTACGGCAGATCAAAAATTGATTTAAAAAATCCTGTGTTAAACTAAAAAACGATATAGCATATACATTCTGGCAAGCCTGATTCACCCTATTGTCCTATATATCCTTTCACCTGGTGTGAAATCAGAATCTAGCCATCTAAACATTAAAGCAAAGAAATCATACAAGGTCCACACTGCTCGGTAATGCCAGTCAACATAAATCCAAGTTTGTCAACAATGATTCAAGGACACCCTTTTGGAATTCGATAATGCCTGCTTGAAATTGTGTATTAATTGTACCATCATTCCACAATCTGATTAAAATACAAATCTATATTTCGTTTCATTTTTTTTAATACTTTCGATGTCCTACACTACATGAAGATCTAACCGGTTGTATTAAAAGGCCGCGTCAGAGGTTGTACGAACGGCTTTTGACCCTATGACGTCAGATATGTATTAATTAATCAGCGTTGACGTTTCTAGTGGTTTACCTACAGTTCGGTGCATCGCATGACAAGAAGTCGCCGAAACAGGTAGTTTCATTGGCTAATCCCTCGCGCCATCCTGAACGCATGTTGTATAACAACCCTCCCAGATCCTAGTGTAGTACAGACAAATAAAACAGAAATTTTAACTATAAAATACGAAACGAAATAGGATCTGTGTTTTAATCAGATTGGTTTTGACACGATTTAAGACTTCTATACTTCTGTGCTTAAATCGTCTGCTCGTTATCCAGCAATTAAAGAAAACATATTTCTGGATAACCCCGGGATAGTTTCTGTTTCAATATTGCATACATGTGTTTGGGATATTTGCTGGACCACTATTCATTATTGTTGGCCGAAAAAGTGTCAACCTTGGCAGTTGGAATTCGATATTAGACTGGGCCGTAGTGCAGCTGTCCGGACAAAACTGGCCCATAACACACTGATGTGCTATATCGGGCATAAAAAATGACACATGCACTGCCTTTTTTGATACAATAAAGGGGAACTCCCCATATAGTCAACGGTGCTCTATTCAGCCACAACAATAACCCCACACCTAAGAGGCAACCATGAAAATAATCGACACATCGAATCCACATGTAAACACTATCTTTTATATCGAAAAATTATAGAATTTAAATATTTATTCAAGATGATTGCCACATAAATTAATTCTCAACAGTTTTGTGCTGCAGTGTGAACATTGTGTATCCTTGTTCTCTTATGAATAAGAAAATTATTATACTAGTAGTAGTAAAACTAAACTGGACTAACAAAAAATAAACAACATGAAAACAAAATATTGAATTGTAGTATTTTTAGTCAGCTGTAGAAAATCTTTGACCAGTATGATAATAACAGAATGGTCATCACATAGCAATGATTATTTTCATACCAGCATTGAAATGACTTTATTTGCTAATTGAAAGTTCTTAATTAATTTAAATTTGATATATAATAAAGCAGACATTCTGTATAGCCCCTATTACCACGATGCTCTAAGCCCGTGATTATTTTGCTTAATCCAGCACTACTTGCAATACATGCTGCAAATTATTCCAGAGACCAAGGCAATATTCATTCGCAGTTAGTCGCTAATGAAATTTAGAGGACTGTTACACTCATTCGATGCCAAGAAATCTCCTCCATTTTGGGCTACAATTTATTTTACCCAGGGTTCATAGAGCAACGTTGATACCCACACGAAAATGGTTAATGATATAAAAACATACGCATATCTGCCCAGTAGTCAGCAGGTGGGAATGGGAGGTAACTCTTATCAACAAATAGTATTTTTTGATTATTACTATCAAATCAGTTAATTATTGCATGCGGTTTTTCTGGTTTTATATTGTAATCTCTGCTGTGCGATGGGATTGGCGGAAATGCCCCCCCCCCCCCGCATCGGATCCGCTACCGTTCTTAAGAACTGCCTTGCACGTCCCTAAGGCCGATTCCCTGTATCGTGTCGTTTTGTCGCAGTTCCCCGTCACAGACACCTGAATTATTGAATAAAGGTTTATAATATGTTCAATTTGATATTAAAATTACCTGGGGTGTTATATTGTATCATATGCTCATTTTGATATTATTATTTTAGCTTGATTTATTTTAGAATGACTATATTTTTCCAACTTTAAGATGGAACTAACGAATGGTGTACAAGTATTATTACCAGTTATGGTAGCTGTAATAGTCGGAAAATGTAGTGGTGATTTTATTTTTTTTACCCATCCTATATTTCATGGTCATTTAGAATCGAATTGTATACCATTCCTTGATCCTGAACCTAGACTAGCAGCAGAGGGAAAGACGTAAACAAAACTCTTTTAACTTATTTGTTGGGAAAAAGATGTTGCTGGGCTTCATTTAAAAATCTATTAATATTGACAACCCTCACTGTTGATCTTCACATTAAGTTTTGTTGTTGATTTTTGAAACCAGTCGAAACTTCTGCTCCCTAGCTGGACCACCTCAAAGCGCGGCTCCATAAACACCTTCAAACTGCCCAAAACTCCTAGTCCCT